ACATATAATTTTACTACATCATTCTTCATTTTGTGCATATTTTCATCTCAGTTGTAACCCCCTGGGCTTCCCGCCACCAGCTCTCCGTGTGCCATTACCACAGTCCAGTGCACTCTTCCCAACCCAGTTCTGATCCCATTCTCCCTTCCACCCCCATAAATGTCTCTGATTTATAGCTGTTCATTGTTTCATTTTTACTCTACTATCTTAGTCTCTCTCTTTTTCTCCCCCTGATCAGCATGACTTTTCTATCAGTTTCCTGATTTGTCAAATGACGTTAGTGATGTCACAAGCTCCGATATTGCTAACTGCTAGTATCCTACCTGCCGAAGGAATAATGGATGATCTCTTATTCAGGATGTGTGCCTGCAGCGTGGCTGCTCGTGGCAGCCTCAGGGCTCTGCCTTCGTGCCCTCGTGCTTCTACACTAAGGATCATGGCTACTACGTGGAGGGGGCCCTTAACAACGCAAATGCAGGTAAGCCAGACAGCCGCAAGCAGGAGCCCAGACACTGAAGGCCCGGATCCTTCTGAGCTGGGCCTGCTTGCTGGTCTGCTGTGCAGTCCTGTGGCCATGTGTGGGCACTGCTCTTGGCAAGGACAGGAATCTACTTTGGCATCAAGGCAAAAGAATCACCGTCCGTCTTGGGAGCTGAGAGACATGTTCTACTCCTGGCTCTCTATTTCTGGGCCTTTGTAGCTTTGTGAAAACATCCTGACCTTTTTGTCCCCCACGTTTCTAATTTTCACTTTTATAGAGAACCTCAAATTGATTTCCTTAAATGTTTTTCCAAATTGTGTTTATTAAGGTCCAATAGGTTTTCATTTTTGTATAATAGCTCAATGAAAACAGCCTATGTGCCCAAGGACATGGAAGTGGATCCAGAAAAGTGGTATAAACATATACATGCATGTGTGTGTGAGTATACACACATGTACACATAGTGGAATACTACTCAGCTGTAAAAAAGGCTGAAGTCTTGACATTGGTTACAATATGGAACACAATTTTTTTTAAACTTTTTTTTT